TGTGTACCTTGGTTCTAGTAGGGTCCTGTTCCCTCTTGTTTGGTCTGGGGTCTGATTGCCTAGGCTGGGGCAGTCTAAACGTGAGGAGGCCACTGAAGGGCAGGCTGTTTACTAGATGCGATGAAATATTTGTAGTGTCCTGCTTCTACTCTGAGGCTCCAAGAGGTCAAACCACCCAACGGCTCCTCTGGGATCCACAGGAGTTTGTTTAAGTCACCTACCTATATGCTCTCTCTGTCCCCTCAAACGGCCTGCGGGGTCAGTGTCCCATAAAAGCACAAATCTCAGGAGGCAGAGGCAGGAGGATCTCTGAGTTCAAGGCCAGCCTGGTCTACAGAGTGAGTTCCATGATGGCCAGAAACCCTGGAAAACAAACAAACAAACAAAACAAAAAAAACGAAAGCACAAATCTAGCGGATCCAGGGTCGCCCCAGGCCTGTAGGGAGCCTGGTGTGGGAACTGCTTAAGAAACCAGACCTACACCACCGGGAGACTAAGGAAACCAGAGCCTGCAGTGAACGGGCTACAGCGGCCCCAACCCGAGGCCAGAGAAGGGGTGATGGCCTTTCGACCTCGAAGTTCACCCCGTTCCACCCAGGAGTCTAGCCTTCCACGATCCAACCGCCCCAGGTTCCTGGGCAGCGGTCCCTCCCAGGTTCACACGCCCACCCCAGAGTCTTTGCTCTCGGCCTGGAGAATCTTGTTCCAGGGACACACCCCTCTAGCGCGCCCCGCCCCGGGCCCTGGTGCAAGCCTCTCAACCCCGCTCCGCTGGCCAGCCACCCTGAGGCTCTCCCCTCCCCTGGACATTCTCTCTTCCTCACACGCCTGGTTCTCCTTTTCTCGTCTCCGTCTCTCGCCTACTCTGCCTCCGCTCTCTCACACCTCTACCCTGAGTCCCCAGCGACCCCCTCTCCTCCAATATTACTCTCCAACCCTGACCCCTGATGCCCCCCTTCCCCTGGCCTTCGGCTCTGCTGCAAGGCATTCCTGTCTTTTATCCCCAGCTCCCTTCAGCCGGTTTCTTGCTCCCCTTGCCCCCAGAATGACTTCCACCCATAAAGCTCCCCTAAACTTCTCCAAGATGATCCCCACACCCTGACTTCTCTCCAAGTCTACCCAGCCCGCGCCCTTTAAGGCTCCCATACAACTCTCACTCTGTTCCACCTCCTTCCAGTACAACTCTACCCCGGGGCCCTCCCATCTCCTGGGGGGTTTCCCGGCCTGACACCCCTACCCTCTCCTCATCCCCCTTACCCTCCTCCCCCCAGGATCACCTTCTTTATTTTCTCCCTGTCCCGGGCACTCCCCCACCCCGCCCCGCAACGCGTCCTTCATCTCCACCCCCATCCCCGAAGCTACCCCCGTCTTTCCC